CTAGTGGTTATAAATTGATTACACATAAAGTTATTTATAAAAGCCATAGTTATTGAGCACCTGATATGTGCAAGTTCTCTGCCAGGTACAATGGTTACCATCATCATCATCAGACAAATACAGGTTTTAAAATCCATGTGAGTTCAGAGAAGGGAGAGATGATAATAAAAGTAAAAGTAGTAAAAGTACTTTTTTCTAGTGAAGTCTCTAGAAAGACACCATGGAAACGCTGGCACTGAGTTGAGCCTTAAAATACAAAGGGGAGCTGGAGAGAGGTGGCGAATGGGGGAGGAATATTCCGCTTGGGAACAGCATGAGCAAAGGTACACTTCAGTCAAAACACCAGCGTTTCTAGTCTAGGACCCGGCTTGATCGATTTCTACCCCTTTTTCCCACGCTTTGGGCTGTGTAACACCATGGCCTTTGTCCGCTAAAGTGTTGCTTTAGGATGCTTTTGGTCCCAAAAGCCAAAGACAGCTATAGCTGGTCACAGTCCTCCCTCAACTTCTCCTTAACAGCTTCTCTTTCTCACCCTATTCACATGTAACTTCAAATCCCTTTTTTCCACAAAGAGAATTTCAGAAACAACGTTGTTGAGTGGCTGAGCTCTCCAGAGGAACTGAAGAGAAAGGGAGAAGCACAGGAATCGCTAAGAACAAAACAAGGACTGCGTTCAAAGTCGAGCTCAGTGTAGATACCAAAGCTAATGAATTCCCAGGTAGAACATGGGGTGAACAACCTAAATCCAGTCAGTCTCTAATGACATTCAGACCTAGAAGTGCTTACCTGCAAACAGGGAACTGAATTTGAGAAACAAAACAAGGCCAGTAAATTCCTGAAAGGAGACAGGTTTTTTTCCTTGGAGACAAACCAAATTATGCACTGCCTCTCTCACTACCAACACGTTCTGGCTCAAACATTTTTAAAAGAAGGCTGTTGAACATCTGCTGGGCAATTAATGGAATGCAGCAGCGTGCTGTAACGGTCCCTGGGAAGGTATTAGCAATCCTGCTTATGAGACATGAAATGTTGCAAACCGTGGTCCTTTTTCCTTTTTTTTTTTTTTTTTAAATTTTTATGTCCTCCTGCCTGCAGGGGGATGAAAAGAAGGGAAAGGGAGTGAGGTAGAACTTCGGCATCAAATACTCTTCCTCACTGTTTCCTGTTTCCTCTTTTCCCCACTTACCTTCATCCTTCTCTTCCTAGCCAGCCAAAGAGGAATGTGCTGATTTTAACTTAATCAAAGAAAGTGTGGCAAGTGTCTCAACCCACTGATCTCCCACCCAGTGTGCCACGTTTTCTAAGTGTGAAAGAATTCACTCTAGTGTCTTGGTAGACACAATCTACTACTCTGTTCAAATAGTTTACAGCAATCAGATGGCCAGGGCTGACTCAGGGACACTCTCCAGATGGCCAGGGCCAACTCAGGGACACTCTCCAGATGGCCAGGGCCGACTCAAGGGCACTCTAAGGGAAATGGATACCTCACATATTTCACTTCCTCACCAGAGGTACCAAAGAGTGCCCATCTTTACATAAACCTTGTCTTTTGTGATGACGGTCAGGCTGAGAGCAATGCTGCACCTGTGGGTAGGGCCAATTTTACCACTCTTATGAGGAACATGGCAACACTCAACACAGACAAAGTTTCCAATTCCATTATTCTGTCAGCCCTTGACGTCCTCTCCCTTTACTCTTCAAACTGGAGCTGATTATTCACACACAAGTCTACATCTACTGCAGTCACTGAGCCAGTCATGATAGGAAGATCAATAATGCCAGTTGGTCAAGGTTTGGAATTATCCTGCCAAAGAAGAACCCTGAACAACCCACAATGGTTGGAAGTCAAAGACTTTTTTCACTTTCTCCCAATTGCCTAGTCTAACACTGGGGTTTTGCCTCAAACTACTTTTTAATTTTACTCTCTTGATAATCTTTCATCATACTGATCTATGTTGTGGGGAGTCTTCAAATCTCAGCGGGTTTACATGATCTCCCAGTAACATACCTTCCTTTAGCCACCCCCTCCTTCCCAGAGATCTGAGTCCTGTTCCCCAAGTTCCCAGCGATGGGATGAACGATGAACATTAATTGGAGAAGTTCCAGATCTTCCCAACTTTGCCATCTGGAACTTATATTGGTGGAATTAACTGTTCATGGTTACCGCGAATGGACTTTCTTTCCCACGTGGAACGATGAATCCCACACAGATGGCTTTGCATGCCTTTGCTGTATCCACTTCCCTGGCCAAGCCCTGGCTAAATCAGTTTCAGCTAATTACCACTTTTTTGATCCCTGTTTTTTTTAGCCTGATCCCAGCTCTACCAGTTGCCTTTATAGGAAACTTCCTTAAGTAACATTTGAAATTAGGTTTCAAATTCAGCAAGATATTCTGAACCATCTCTGGAGTGTGATGTGAAAATCAGTTAAATAAAAATCAGGCACATAGAATAACTGATGGAAGATAAGTATGGGGGGAAGCAAAGGTGTGAAATGCAGGTGGCCTTCAGAGCTGGAGGAGTGGGGTTAGTTCTCTAATTTAACCTAGATGGTCCCCTTTCCAATAGAGGCCCCTGGTAAACAGTAAGGGAGTTTTTTCTAATAAATCAAGCTACTCCACAGCAAAATATGTTGCCTGAAGATAGTGTTCATTTAGAAGTTGCGCAGCTGTAAAGCAAATTTTGCACTACAGGGGATGGGCTAAGTTGGCCACTTCCCTTCAAATCCAGAATTCAGTATGCAACAACAGGCTCAGCTGTTTTTAACCTCTAAACTGAAAGAGCACAAGTCGCTCTAGCTATTATAGGAGGGGATGATAAGGTTCAGTCTGCCACCTCAACAGGCTGGGCTATCTAATTAATCAGTAAATCTATTTAAAACAATTTCAGGTTGTTACTTGCCACTCATGTGAAAATTTTGTCAGTGGCTTGGCTATCAGGATGACTACAACTGATGTTCTTGAACTTTGTTTTCTGGTACAATGAGCCATGTGTAATTGCCACGTGTCACCACCATTCACCAAAGACCAAAGGTCAACCTTTTGGTGGAAACCACTAATCTAGATCATCAAATGCCCTGAGATAACTTGGCAGCTTTCTTTCATGCCTTAGGCTTAAAGGTTTTTCTCATAGGTCTTGCTTAATTGTTCTCCATCATTTTCTCAATTTCTTTATGGCATTTTCATCAGCAATACAATCCAGAAAGTAGCATTTGTTAATTTGTTCCCTGCATGGCTTTCCCCAGGGATGGAAGCTTCATGAGGGCACAGACTCTATCCTATGCTGAGGACATTGCTTGGCTCAGAGTAGGCAGGCACTCTAAATGCCTGTTCAATGGATGAATTAGGATGGCAGGCTGGAGAACACAAAACCAGCTCTCCTCAATCCTCCTTGCTCTTAAGAGTCATCCTCTTCAAGGGACACTCTGAATCAGTCACACCTCCATTTAAACATCTTGATGGCTTCCCAGAGCCCACCAAATTAAGTACAAACTGCAGCCTGGCATACTTCCATGCTCCTCTTCCATATCCCATGCTCACAACAGTGACTTTTAAATATTTTTTTTTTTAAGGCAGTGGGAATTTTTCTAAACAAAATATTTCATGAAACCTTAATAAACAAAGAAAAAAATATATGATCCAAATAGAAAAGAGGCCAGCAGCCAAACTGCTTGGCCTTCCTCTAGACCTAGGCACACCTCTGGAATCTCCAGAAATCCAAAGAATGGAGGTGGGAACTGCTGCTCTTTGTTTCCACTTGTTCAGCATCCCCAAAGCCCTGGAGACTTTCACACTCCTTCCTTGGGGTTTTGGTGCTTGGAGTGGTCTCTTGAGGTCAATCCTTTCCATCTTTTCCCAAAGACCATCTTCTCCATGAAGCTTTCCTGTATCATTATGAATACACACAGTTCCTTTCTGCTTTAAATTTCCTATACAACTTTGATTGTTAATAATAAAAAAAAAGGGAAAAATAGTTTACTATGTGCCAGGAACTACTCTAAGTGCATTGCCTGAATTAACTTCATCCTCACACAATCCCATGGACATAGGTGCTAGTGCCATTTCAAAGCTTCCGAGAAGTTAAGTCTCTTCTCAAGGTCTATATGGCAAGTAAGTGAGGGAGCTAAGACTGAAACCAATGATCTGGCTGCAAAATTGCAAAGTCTAAGTGCTTAAGTATATCACCTCTCTATATAAGCATTTATTCATTTTACTCATGAGATATCCCGCCATTGCCCATTTCCTGCACCTCACCACACCATCACGACTGTTACCACCCAACTATGCCACACCACAATCAGATTATACGGTTTTTGACGTGAAAGACCATTTCCTGTTAGCCTTTGTATTCCATGCAGCACCAACACTATACTCTGAAAAAATAAGTACTCAATAAATATTGTTAATTTATTATTAATGTAACACAATAATATCTATTTCTATATACTTGGAATTATCTGAGTTATCACTGAGATTTCTACATAGCCTTAGTAGGAGGACCCCCCCCCCAACTTGTCCAGGTGAAGAGACAGAAGCTTAATGATACTAAGATCATGAATGACCCACTCAGGGTTTATCTTGGTTATGGCCCTGTGCAATGCCTAAGTCCCAGTTATTTCTACTCATTATCCCAAAACTTAAAGAAAATTCTTTATAACATAAATAACTGAAAATAAAGTGTTGCAAACAGATCGGAAAAAAGTTATTTGTAATGTTAACTTTATTTTCAAGACTTCTGTTGAGAAGGAGCATGGCATCATTTGAGGAGTATGTATTTAGGTGATTCCCTGACAGTTTTTGCCAGTGACTAAGTAGGAAAGTCTCCTTATTCTGCTGTGTTATGGGTCCCCATTAGGGCAAAAACGCCAAGTAAGGGAACCTCTAAAGACTGGTGATCTTATATCTCATTAGCAGTGCCATCATTTCATCTATGCCAAAAAAGTGGATTGGGATCCCCCTTTGCTAGGGCCACCAGCCGGCAGCCAGGGACCTGGAAACTGACCTGCTGTTAAGTGGGCTGCGTGGACAAGGATTTGGACCCCGGGCTTCAGCTCAAAGTGCACCGAGTTTTGGTTGAGCTTGTGGATCAGCAGTTCTGATATCTGAAAGAAGAAGTGTTACAGTGAGTGCCTCCAAAATTGCCATGCCGACAATAAACAAATGTGCTGAGAAATATTTACTGTAGTTACTAAGGCATCCTCATGTTATGCCTGTGAATTCTATAAATGAGTCTTGTATGATTTTGAGTTTTTATTCCAGAATACGCACACATAGTGATTTTTAAAGCATGGCCCGAGTTTACATCCTAATTGCTACAAAATAGGACAAACTATTAGTAAATACAAACATTTCTGCTCTGAAAAAATTATCCTGTGTTATCCTAGAAAAGTCACCCCCAGTTTTTTGAAAGAGCATTTGTTATACACAAAAACTTAAAAGAAGTAATTATGTACACTTTATACATTCTGGTGAGATTTGTATGCATTAATTTTACTTCTTGAGAGTAGACTCCATCTTATTCCTTTCTGTGCTTCTTTCCTCTTACCCTAACTGTACCCTGTGGCTTTCACAGAATAGATACTTTATGAATATTTATTGAATGGTAAATATAGTTCCACTAAAATAATAAATTATACAGTTGGAACAAACTGTAAACACAATCTCAGTGATGCATTGGCTGATCCTTGTTTCCTGCTTATGGACATTAGCTAAAACACTCCCCAGGCTGACACCTGTGTACTGGGCAGACCTATGGGATTCTGGGCCATGAAATACCAAACCCCAACAAAGGGCAAAGAACCATGTTTAGGTAGTAACAGCATAGGGACAGGTTTGATAGAAAAGGTAAAACTCTGTTCTGTTCACTTGTTTAAAGTAGAAAATCCAGCTCAATTTTCTTACCCTTCTGAGCAATTTCTGAAAAGCTATCAGGGAAAATCATGCTCCTATTATTTTTATCTGGACTCCTTACTTTATTTTTAATAGTCTAATCATCAATTTAATATTTTATTTAATAAGCTATTTAAGTCTAGTTAGATGCTTTCTTTTTTTTTTAATTAATTAATTTTTTTATTTATTTGAGAGAGAGAGAGACAGCGAGAGAGGGAACACAAGCAGGGGGAGTGGGAGAGGGAGAAGCAGCCTTCCCGTGGAGCACGGAGACGGATGTGTGGCTCGATCCCAGGACACTGGGATCATGACCTGAGCTGAAGGCAGGTGCTTAACGACTGAGCCACCCAGGCGCCCCTAGTTAGATGCTTTCTGACCACCACTTTTTTTTCCTTTTATAAAAATTTGTCCAGTTTCACTTAGCCTACTGAATTGCCAAAATGACACCTCTGAATGATCTTTTTATCGATTAAGCAGAGCCTGATGGCTTTGTTTTGAAGCAGAGTCCCTGGTAGACCCCCCCCCCCAATGGGTAATGGAACTGAACTGCCCTGCAGATGAACTTGTTTGCTTAACAACAGGAACTTGGGATGACTGTCAGTGACCTGCAGTTGAGCACCTGGGATCCAGTGCAAGCTCAGCATCTCAAATGCTTTCATTTGGCATACCATGCAGAAAAACAAGGTTGTGATACAATTATGTTGAAAACAACTTTCTCCTCTATATTAGGCTCTATATTACTCTTTTTCCTGGGCACTGGGAATCTTTTGGAATGCTCCAGGTTTATAGGAATAGATCTCTAGCACAGACTGTGCAGAATGTTTTTCCTGTGTGATCTGTAAAGCGTTGCAATGTATAGGTTCCTATTCTATCTTACAATTTACTTGGTAAGGTCTTTATGGGAATCTGACAGGATTTTTAGTAGAGGTCAATCAGCAAGGTTTTTGCTAATGAAACCCAGAAATGTGTGTGTGTGTGTGTGTGTACATATATACCATATATATGTATATACACATCATATATATGTGAAATATACACATTTACATACATATGCATATATATGTGTACATACCTACATTTATATTTGCAGAGGAATATTTTAACTCAAATGGGAAAGACTTGTCAGAAGTAATTAATGAATTGCCCTGTTTTACAAGAGTCCATCATGTGGCCAAAAGGGAAATATGTATTCGCAAGAGAAAGACTTCTCTCTTTCAACCAGTTGAAGTGATATTTATTTCTTATTCCTGAGGATGTTTTTTCCTCAAGTGAGAGGTATAAATAACTAAACCAGAAGAAAGTGTTCATCAGAAAAACATATTTCTAATTTATAATCTCCAGGAGAGTTCCTTGTGAAAATAATTAACTTCTCGGATTTGTTTTGGTTTATGACATTGCTTCACTGGATTTATCTGTATCATTTACAAAATTAAGTAGGCTATGCCAAAATAATCTGGTAGCAGAAAGTATGTTTCATGTATTTAACTTGCATCAAAGACATGCAGTAAAGAACACGTATCTATGGGAAAGAAATTATGCACAGAAACAAAACTAAATGAAATGTACATTGCATACAAGAATAATCTCAATTAGAACCATGTAATTCTCTACTCAAATAAATGAGTACGAAATTGTTGACAGATTTTCACAATTTTAAATGTTTTTCAAGCCATTTGCAGAATTGTTTATTCTGTATTTTTCTATCACATCATGAGTTATTATATATTTTATATAAAATATACATAAGTATACATACCATATATATAATATATATGCATTGAACACTTTATATTGGCAAAGTTGCCTATTTCTCAATATTTTTCTAACATAGCATGTCTTAGGTATTACTGCAGGTATCTCCATGGAAAGGACCATGGAGCTTACAGGACATACCTAAGTTTACCCAGTTAATATTTGAAGAGTTGACACCAGACTTCAGTTTTGTTTGACTCCTAATCCTGGGGCACTTTCATTAAAAACATTTTCCTTGAACCAGCTGACAAAAAGAGAGAGCAAGAGATATATGGGAAGAGGGCTGGCTGAGCAGGTTTAGGAAATTAAAAAAAAAAAACAAACCACCACTGCAGCATTTCATTAATTATGCTGCCATCTCTTATTCATCTGTGAGGCATACTTGTAACACCAGTCCCAGGTCAGCTGCCCAGTACGAGCTGCACCAACAGGCAATTGCCAACCCTCTCCCCTGGACCGCCACACTCTGCTCACCAGTCAATATTATTAATTCGTACTGATCGGGAGAGACTTTGGCTATGAAAGGAGTGGAATGAACTGGAATCTGTAGGGCAGGTGGCTGCAGCCTAAATGGGAAGGACAAAACCTTGCATGACAGAGACTAAGTGGGGTAATGTGTGACTGCTGGGACACTGAACTTGTTGGAGCCAGTTCAATATATTTATTTTTCTTTCTCTGTCCAGTGAAAGTGTGTTGTCTTAGCAAATTGCATGTACCCTTTGTGCTGTTAGCCCTCTCCTGCTGCTCTCCCACACAGTCCATTTTCTATTCTCTTCCTAAATAATCATGACCAGTGAAACAACGTATTATTCTTGGTATCTGCCCATTGGTGGACTTGGCCTGGGATTCCAGTGCAACCCACACTTGCCTTGAAGTACCGGTTAAAAACACAGTGGGGACACAAGAAAAACACTTGGAAAGCTCCCATCAGCACGGAGTAGTGGGAGGGACCTGCTATAGGGGAAAACACCAATTCTCTTCTGTATCTTCTTCACAAAATAAAATTTAAGTACAGCAATCAGAACAAGCTAGGTTATGCTGGGGTAACAGGGTTAAAGGCTCAGAGGTTTCCAACAATGAAGGTATATTTCTGGCTCATACTTGATACCCAATGCAGGTGGGCGTGGTGCTGTGTTCATTGTGGTCACACAGGCTGGTGTAACTGCCCCCCCGCCCCCGCAAATGTTTCTGTCCACAGAACCACAGGAGGGAAAAGGAGCCCTCAAGAGTCTACAACTGGTATTTGAATACTTCTGCTTACAAGGAAACAAATCACTTCTGCTCCTAGCTCATTGGCCAGAATCAGTCACATGGTTCTGCCCAAAGAAGAGGCCCATGGGTACCAGCCTACGTGTATCCAGAAGGAAGTGAGCTGGAAATAGTCAACAGCAGTGATGGTTGCCACACAAAGAATACACTTAATGCTGAAAAATTTTTAATGAAACCAATAGGAGAAAACACATTCTCAGATTATAAGAATGAAAAGTGTCAAATATTGAAACATGAAAAAAGAGAATTTAAGAACAGAGCAGTTGGTAAATTTATGAAACATACAAGCCAAAGAAGTGGTACAAGGTGAAACTATAGATGGCAAAATGGTCTTTGGCAGATTTATCAGTGATAAAGCTGCACTGGGCCAAAATACTAACGTTTATCTCTGAAGTTGGCAGGAGGAATGCAAACCCTACTGAACATAAATAGCATTCTGGTGCCATGTTCAGAGATACTTGCCTGTAATGATCTTGGAGCTGACCCACCAGATCACTCCTGATCCTGTTAAATTATTAAGGTCTTTTGAAATAGCAGTTGAAGAATCTTCCTTTTGGATTCAACAAAGGAAGAGCTTTCCCAATTCATACAACATATTTTTTGGATAAAATCATGGGGAGGGCAACAGAACCAAACACTAATTCCAGTTAACACTAGCTTACCCAATTCCCTTCTTTCTTAACACAAAAGAATCGTCTTGATTAAAGTGCCTGAGAAGTTTCCTGGGTGATATAATGAAGAAACACACTGGCTATGCATATCTCCTTCCCGGTATTCCCCATCATCAGCTCTAAATTTGTCTCCCTTGGCCATATTCCTTCCAGTACAACTCTTACCTAATCACCTTTCAATTATAGTTTCCTGCTTTAATGATCTTCCTTGTGAACTCCAGGTATTTGTATAATCCAAATCCCCATGTTAAAAAATCCAGACAGGGTAGATTATGTGGGTAATAGTTTGAGATTATCAATTATAGTTCATAATGAATCTTTATTTCCTTAAAATGCTGCCAATAGATGGTTCCATTTTCAGAGGCTCCTTTCCTTTCTCTGGATTTTGGATTCTCCATCGGTCAAAGGTATATGGTAACACAAACAGCCAAGGAGGAAGTTCAGTGACAGTGGTTGACATTTTTTCCATAATCTTTTTGTTTCTTTTTCAATGTTTTCATGCCCTTTAAGGATTCTGCAAGACAACATGTAGGCTCCCTATCTCTCCAGCACAGTGTCACAAAGACTCTCAATAGAACATGGTGGTCTTTCCTCCCTCCAGGAGAGCCAGATACAAATCTGCTCCCCTCTGAGGACTCCGAGAGAAGCAAGGGAGTATAGGCCGGAGGGAGGGGGGCGGCTGGCGTTGCTCCAGACCTGAACAGTTGGGGCAGCAGGATGTGCTATCCCTGATGAGGCCAGCTAAGGGCAAGTGAGCCTTTTCTTACTCCCCAGAGATCTGAAATAAAGACTGGTGGAACCCTCCCAGACAGAGGTCACTTGATTAACCCTGCCCACGTTAGCCTGATAACAGGGTCAAGTACTTTCTCACTGTAAGGAATTTTCAATTTATTTCACAGACAAGATAGCTTGATCTGAGCCAGCATGGCTGCTCCCCTGGGGAAGCTAAGGGAGGAGAGCCAAGAGCCTTTTGCTGGGGCCTCACCCTTGCAGTTTCCTGGGTCCATTTAGCCAGGGTCCCACTTCTTCCCCTGCTGGGGGTTCTGTGTGGTACGCTTACAAGAAAGGAGTTGGGCACCTCCGTGGCGCAGTTGGTTGAGCGACTGCCTTCGGCTCAGGTCATGATCCCGGAGTCCTGGGATCGAGTCCCGCATCGGGCTCCCTGCTCAGCAGGGAGTCTGCTTCTCCCTCTGACCCTCTTCCCTCTCATGCTCTCTCTCATTCTCTCTCTCTCAAATACATAAATAAAATCTTTAAAAAAAAAAAAAAGGAAAGGAGCCAGAGCACCAAGAGAGGGATAAGGTCAGCCCTTCCCAAGTTCCATCTGGGATTTGGAATGCAGACCTCTGGGAGGGCGGGGGCCAGGGCACATGGTGGGGAGCATTTCCTTCTGTTGTTTGCTTCTGCTCTGCATTCATTTAAAATTTCTGTGGAATTTATTACAAAGAGAGTCAGCTGCTTTTGTCTGCCTGGTGTTTCTTCTCTCTCCCCATTTTTCTTTGAGGAACCATGTCCTTCTCCATTCTCTGTCCACTTGATTCTGGAGAGGCTTCCTGAGCCCCTGATCCAGGCGGCATATAAAACATCTGAGTTGTTGGAGCCAGCACACCATCCCTCTGACTACAGGGATGATGTAAGAGATGTCCACTTCGCCCAGGCTGGACCAGTGAGAACTGTCCACCTGGAGCTCTTGCGGTGCTCTAGGGAGACAGACACTGCTTTTCTGATGAGGCTGACAGGCTGACTAAACAGAAGCCCGAGCCTCCGGTGGCCAACCTTGCCTTCCTGCCTGCTGGCTTCATTCTCAGGCCGATTTCCTCATGGGGTAACAAAGAAAAGAGATGGAGAAAGAGGGAGAGAGGGGGGTATTTGGTGGCATTTTTAAGTGGCTCTGAATTCACTGAATGAATCCATGCTTGAACTGTATCCTTGGACCTCCCCATTAAATAAGCTCATAGATTCACTGTTTTTGCTTAAACTGGTTTGAATTGGCTCTCTCTCAGTTGCATCAGAAATTAAAAGAAAAAAAAAAGATACAAAAACTCAAAATAAAACAATGCATTTCTCATTCATTTCCTGGTGCAGCAGCCTTGGTACTTTCAGGCCCACAGAAAAAAAGTGGCAGCCAATCCACGTCTGCAGCGGGGCGGAGTGGGGGGCCACAGGCTTGAGTTCCTTGCAGAAACACAACTAGCATCTCATTGTCTTGAAGAACTGTGTCACCTCAAGCAAGTCACTCCTCCGTGTTGGGGCCTGAATTCCCTCACTTTAAAGGGACTGAGTCAGCAAGAAGGGTCAAAGAACCCTCTTTGGTAGAAAACTACAGGTTTCCAATGGCAGCCCGTTTCACAATATCTCGACACGAGGCTCAGTTTTATATGTTGATTTTGTTACTGTATGTTTTAAATCAGGGTAAGAATATTTGCCACGACAAAGATACTCATTTTTTATGTGCCTGGTTTGGCATTTGTTTGGTTAGAGTCCTAGATAAGGTGGATGCACTTGCAATTTCCTTAAACAGACGTACAACGCTAGCCTGGTAGCTTGTTTTCCTTCATGCTGAAAATCCACATGAAAACTCTGATGGGGCTCCCTCACTCCTGTGTAGTCAACTCATGCACATTCCTTCTGTTTCTTATTGTTCTCGTTCTCTTCTCGATTTTGTAAAATTTCATGCGGTCATCTTCTTCTTACTCCTGCCAGCCTCTTGCTTCCAATATGTGCCCTTGACTATACCAAATAGTCTCTTCCACAAGCTTACACTTCCCTTCTGCGTTTCCATATACCCTCTTCCTATCTCGAGATGGCCACAAATGTATCCATAATCTATTTACCACTTACTGAGCATTTACTAGGAGGCCAAGTACTTTGCAGGTCATTTCTTGAATGTTCTCTCACCCTATGAAATGGGTATTATAGACTGCCTCACTTTGGCTGACTTACATAACTTTCCTAGTCCTAAATTACTTTATCTATAAATGATACAATGGATATTGGAGCTAAAACTAGAAACTTGGTTTTTATCTCTCCATTCCTGTGTTCTTATTTTTTTAAGATTTGATTTATTTATTTGAGAGAGAGAGAGGGCACAAGTGGGAGGAGGAGCAGAGGGAGAGAGAGAAGCAGATGCCCCACTGAGTGCGGGGCCTGATGTGGGGCTCCATCCCAGGACTCTGAGATCATGATCTGAGCTGAAGTCAGACCCTTAACTGAGTGAGCCACTCAGGTGCCCCACTCCTGTGTTCTAATGAAATGGCTGGTCTCCCTACAATGTGTGCCAAATGCTAAGTCACACAGCCTTCAAACCTGACTCAGGGGTTCATCAGTGACACCCGGCGGCCTCAGAGACAGTCACTCAACTCTCAGAATGTCTTTGGAGGGGGGTAGTTGGATGAGAGAGAGAAGAAGGGAAATAAGAGCTTCAGAGAAAAGAGTCAAAACAAGATACATTCCTACACAAGCAAAAGAAACTTTACAGAATATACCCCTCTTCTTCCCACATTTCTCAAGAAAACATCTAGAACTTTTAGAAAAAAAAAGATATTTTTAGATACTTTTAGAAAAAAAAAAGGAAAGTATGAGAAACAGAGATGCCCAGATGATGTGATGCCTTGGAAATTGGCTGGCGCTAAGTGTGGACTCTCTTCCATACTTGAAAAGGTTATGATCTGGATTTCATGGAAGACTGATACGATTTCCAAGGGAAGAATGACTGTACATGCTCATACCTCAAGCCCTTAGATACTCATCTACCTCCCCTGCAGGTTCTCAGCAGTGCTGGGATAAGAAGCAATCCATTTCATTCTCCCACAAAGTTGCAGGTGCAGATAACAATTTGTGGAAAATAATGGGAAGCTGAGTGCCAGGGCCGAGTGGGGTCAGATGCAAAACCGATGGACGACCCGCTGCGGGCTCTTTAATCGCAGTTCACTATGAGATGGAGTTCAACAGGGCTTTCCAGGACAGCTTTGTTCTTCATTACTTGCACATGGAGAAAATTACAGAGGTGAGCCTTCTGCCAAGTGAGAAAGCGCAGTTGAAAGGAGGGTGTGTGCTAGGAGGTGGGCCATGCTGTAATTCGGGGTTGTTGTTAATAAGGCTGTCATAGGAGGTTCTCAAGCCATCTTCAAAGACGAGAGATCATGTGACTAGATTACGGGCTCATTCTAAGCAAAGTGAAAAACTCCACGTACTGGAGGAGAAAAAGCCAATATTTATTCAGAGTCTGAGAAGAATCCTATTTTTAATCTTTCTGCCAGAAAGCACTGAGAAACCAAATTCATGCAGTTTCTAACAGGGTAACCAGACCAAGACTGATGATTTTAACTGAATGGATGATGAAGAAAAAGGGAAAGGGGAAGGAAAATGGGAGGAAGAGGAAGAGAAAGTAGAACAATATAATAATCATTCTCACTACACAAGATTAAAGACTCCTTTGAAGTTAAAAGGAGGAGAGGGGGAAAACAGAGATGGAAGGGGGCAGGACACACACACACACACACACACACACACACACACACACACACACACAGAGTCTACTACTCCAGAAGGTGGTGGACGTGAAGAAAAGATGGACCCCACACAGCCAGCAAAGGTGGTCTGGAGCCAATATTACTTCATTTATTAGAAACACAAATCAGGTCATCTTAGCATGGTGGCAATACAGAGGATTTATGATATGTATAAAAGTCATACCTTTTAAAAACAGTATCATGCATCGCATATCATTTGACTCTAATGACATTCTTGTGATGAAAGTCAGAAAAGGAATAAATGGGTTCAACTTCCATGTATTATTCAGCCACATGCTTTTTTCCCCACTTATTATCTTGGACAGTTTGCCCCACAGATTTATCTAATTCACTGTAAGCCCTCTATTCTATAGCGTGGAGATATAATCTGAGGAGGTTAGCCACCACCTACAATAACCACGCTTGCGCGTGTTTGGCGGTGAAGCTGTAGTTAGTTAGGATCAGCAGGTTATGGGTGAGAAACAAAAGACCACAAACAGCCAGCGCCCTCACCCTCAAGCTGGGATCCCTCAGAGCTGCCGTGCTGGGGGAGTCTGGTACCAGCGGGGGTGTGGCTCAGACTTGTGTGGAAGCTGAATATCACCTGGGGGACTCACCTGCTCTAGGTCCTCAGCTGACCGTTTGTTTTCTCCAGTCGGATCCTGATAGGGCAAGACAAAGAGCTCAGCGGCGGTGGGTAAGCCAGGAAGCACCGCCACCAGGATGTGCTGGCCTGGGACCCCTGTGGCCTGAGGGAGAGACAGAAGCTCACGTAAGTTCTACAGGAGAAGGTGGTGAGGATGTAGGGAGTACTCGCGGGCCGTAGGGCGGCAGTGGGTGGGGTGGGCGAGCAGGCAGGACGGGAGCCTCCTGGAAAGGGACATGACACGGCTGGAGCCTGAGTCCATGGCACTCCCAGGGGCTAAGACAGTGATTTCTCCCTGAGGGAGGTGGGTGCAGCATCTCTCTTTCTGCTGGACAGATGGCAGATGCAGGAAGGTTCAACAGTGGCTTAAGGCCATCTAGGTAGCGCATGGGGACACTGAGCTTGGAACTTGGGTCTGACCATGAAGCCCTTGTTTACCCCATCTCAGGAGGTCAGCCTCCCTTCCCCTGATACTTAGCACTCAGTAGCCCGGGTCACAGCTAACAAACTGTTTTATGGCCCTCCCAGATTTTAAACTCAGAGATTATATCTGAATCATCCTCATTATGTACAAAAATGTTGATTGGATGATATCTGATCAAAGATTTCACTGTGAAATTCAATAGAAAAACCCCATTTGATGAGGTAAAGGTAACTGCTTTTATATCCCGTTTTGTTACACAGTAAAAAGGAAGAAAACTGCAAATATATTGACCTCAAGTTGTAACTCTTGTAGGGTTTATTTGAGTCCGCTTGACAGTAGGTACCTCAGGGCTTAAGGAAGTAGCCAAGTGTAACTACTCATCTCAGAGACAGGGTGGGATTCCAGGAACCAGGGACGGGTCAGCTGCCTCCTGAGATGGGGTAAGCAAGGAGCCTTTGAAACTGTAAGGGATCAACCCCTCCACCCTATCACACCCTGTCCTGAGAAATGTGGAGCCAAACGGTTTATTCTGCGTTTAGCTGATGATGCTATGCAGCAGCCTGGAAATACTGATGAGCAGTAATTTCTAGCCTTCCGGACGGCTGGTGGAAAGGTAGAGGCCCAGGGGATGTGATCCCTAGACTATCAATGTGAAGAGAATGCCGCCTGGAAGATTGGTCACTGCAGGGCTAATGCTTGGTTGATAAATCACCTGCGGGAATCGGGCAGCTACCTGGGAGGTCTATAGGGTCACAGATCCCTAGAACACTACAGGTGGAAGGGAGGGGGCTGTGGACTCATTGAGGGGTGTAGTCCTCTCTCTTGGACAGCAGAGGAGAGAAACCCATAGTCACACCAGGGACAAACAGGTCCAAGGGCAGAAGGATCTAGTCCAGAGAGGCCTGTGGGCTAGTCGATGCGCCCCCTGGTGGCCTTAATGTTTAGCCACCCGGCGGTCGTGGACGCGGAGTCATGAAGACAAAGGGGAGGTGGCATTTACATAGAGGTGAAGACAGCATTCTCCACCCCCACTGTTCCATGAATCCCTGTTTTTCCACGGGAGGAAGCAAAGGATGGCCATAGAATGGAGAGGTTAGGAAACCACGAGGGCAGTCTGACTCCAGAGTCTGACTTTTAACAGTGTGGCCGGGGCTAGAGCACATGAAGTCTCTATGTTCAGTTTCCTCATCTGTAAAATGGGAATGATTATAGTAGCTACATCATAAGCCACTTCTTTTGTGATTAAATGTGCTAAAAATTGCAAATCACTGAGAAGAGTTTTGGGAGTACTGTAAGTGCTAAATCAATATCAACACAGATAATGGCCTGAGTATAGGGAAAGCCAGCCCTTTGCCAACAGGCTGAATGTGAGATCTGTTTTCTGAGCAGGCAGTACCTGAATGCCTTTATCCCATCAGCACTTTGTGTCACAAGGCATCATGTGCTGGGTACCGGAGATAATGTATAAAACACCCTACACTGATTTTCCTGTTAGGCTAAGAAGATGCCCTGGGGAGAGGGAGCTCATCTCTGATTTTCTGGGTTTGTACAATAAATCCGAGCAGCTCCACAAGCAGATATTCCATTCCTCTGTTCACTCATGAAATTGTATGTTTGCAGGGGGTGATGTGCCTAAAAGAAAGTGTTTTCTCAAACTGTCAGTGATACTTACTCAGACGGGGATAAACCTCACCACCTCGCTGTTCTCCCAGAAACCACAGGGGGCCATGTTTTATACGTACAAACCCAGATCCTGGACTCAGACCTTTTGCTTCAATTCACTACCTTCATCACTTACCAGCTGTGAGACCTAAGCAAGTTATTTAACCTCTCTGAACCTCAGTTGCTTTGCCTGCAATAATACCTTCCTCTTGGGGCTATGGCAGCAGAGACATGCCTTTGAAAGAACAGGGACAGAGAGAGATGACTGACCATCACGTGCTGAGTGCTCACGCCTGCGAGGCTGGAGCCCAGGGCTGCTCTCGTGAACTGTATTCTCGCCGTGTCCCTTCAGTATTGGGCACGGCGGCTGACTTTGCACTTGCTAGCGACCTGAGCATGAACCCTGCCATATGAAGAGGACGGTCACAAATTTCCATGTGTTTCTTCTCTAAGTGGAAGAAAAGTTTCGCGAGGTTCAAGGACCGTGTGTTTGTTCCCAGTTTCAGCCCCCCACCCAGAGCACCTATGCTGTGTCTGCCCATGTGGGGATCAGAGGTGCAGACAGCAGGTGGCCAGCAGACCTCCCATGGGTGCCAGCTATTTCCTGGCAGCTCTTGGCCCAAGGGTCCCTCACCGTGCAGCTCGTGGAGGACAGAGAGAGAATGTGCCCCGGCAAGAGAAGGAACTGTCTGCACTCACTTCCACCAGGGATTTTTTGATGACTCGGCTGATGTCCCTCCTCCACTCAGGGATATCAGGGTTGTAGTCGTCCAGGTTCGGAGAGAAGGACAGGCGAAGGGATCGGAATTCCTCTGGGGATACAACAGTAGGGTGATTACCCAGAGTCCAATAGTTTCCTCAAAAGTATGTTATATATTGCATGCAAAGCCTTAACAAAGGGCCCTTTTCCTCCCCACTTACCAAAGAGAGCCTTCTAGAAGACAAATCTGCTATCCCATCTGCAATCTGCTGTCTCTCCCAGCCCTCATTTTCTAAACCAGAGCCATAGGTCTGGCCCATGCCTCGCTCTGCAGCCTCTGCTCACTGGTCCCGGTTCTAGACTGAGCACTCGAGGACACTAGAGCCCCGGAGGGTCCTGGATGCACCGCAGGCTCCTGACCCTGGGCCCCTGCACACACTGTCTCTCCCGCAGAATGTGCATCCTTTCTCTCTGCCACGCACACAGCGTTCAAGCTCTAGTTCGAGCACTTAGCGATGGCATACTCTCCCCCACCATGGTTCAAAGTTCTTTTCCATGGCACTACTGTGTCTTGCACACATTCCCATTATCATTATGATTGTATAATTATATGATCACATGATTATAATTATTACTAGAGTCATTCTGTTGCTATGTTTTGCTTGTATGGAAGTTTTACTTCATGGAATTTTAAACTCCTTAACTCAAAGAATTTGTTAATTGTCTTTGCAGCCTCTGAGTTCATCTTGGTCCTCCCGAAAGTAGGATGGGATTGCAAAAGCAAGGGTGTTAGGACGGGAAGATGGGGAGGCTGAGGAGCGGGGAGCACTGCAGCACTGAGAGGCATACGTGACACTTGTGGAAGGCAGGGAGGCTTGCCGTGCAGCGTGAGGAAGGTCCGGCAGGACTGTCAGGGAGTCCTTGACCCACCGCAGCGACGGAGGAGTCCCCTGCGTGCCAGGGATGAGTCTGCCTTAATATGCCTGTCACATTCGCTCAGTGGCCTCGGCCCAAGACAGTGATGGGTTTCAGAGCCCAGCCCTGGGGAACTCAGCCCCGGACAAGTCGGGTCATGTTACCGCCCTAAAACCTGCTAGTGGCTTTTAGGGGGGAAAAAAAAAAAAGCAGCTTCTTAACCACGGCCTTCATCATCCCATAGAACCCGGGGCCGACTTGCCCTGCTGCCTACTCCACGCTCCTCTGTGCTCCAGGACCCCTCCGGGCTGCCATGCTCCTTCCCTCATAAGCACATTCCACTTCCCCAGATACGGCACAGTCGGCCCCTTCTCATCACCCATCAGTCTCTCCCAGGAGAAACTCGGCCACTAGCAAACTGAGTTACCTTCCTTTCTGCTACCTCAGATACCCTTCATTATATGACCCTACTTGTCATCTGCCCTCCTTGCCACTTAAATTCTTTTTTTACTGTCTGTCTCCCACACTGAGACATAAGGTCAATGAGGACAGGAAGGTCGTGTTCCTGGCCCTGCGGGAATGGTACCCAGCAAATGGTAGGTTTTCAATTATTAGCTAGTCATCTAATTAATAGATTTGTTAAATAAATAAATACATAACACTGGAGGCTCTCTGTAATTTATGCATTTACTTATTCAACAAACATTTCTTTCTTGTTTAAAGCATGTCTTCATGTTTCAGTAGGGGCTCAGTGACATCCGTAATGCTGATTATACATTCAGGAAACATAAAAGCCCACTTGCACATTTCCTAACAATGCTAAAGACTTATCAGACACAGGCTTTGAAGACTCTTAAATTACAAGGGGTGTATTATGGCAGTTGCCTATTTCAAAGACGTATTTTTCGCAGCTTGACTATTTTATGAGACACTGGTCACCTATGTGAACATCACTTCAGTTCTGATGTAGAATAATGAAATTCATCTTAATTAGTAGCATGGCAAATGGGAATCAGCCAAGGAATCAGCCACTGAGTCCTAACTTTTCACTTTAAAGATATAAATTGATGTCATTTTCACTTTCCCTGAACCTCTTACTAAACTGTAGAAACTTCATCTATAAGGGAAGCTGCTTATCTTAATAAAAAGACACAAATAGAAAAATAATGTGGCTCTCTCTGTAATAACTTAGCAAGCTCAGTAGCAGGACACAGGAGTGTTATACTTAAGTTTACTCAACAAACAGGTGCATGTGGGAGCACTAAAAAAGGTAAATACCAGTAATAAACACACACACACACACAGTTGAGCTTTGAACCATGTGTAGTTTAGGATGTCATCCCTTACCCTGGTAGTTGAAAACCCATATTTAATTTTTGACTCCCCAAAAGCTTAACTACTAATAGCATACTGTGGACCAGGAGACTTACTGATAACAGAGTCAATTAACACGTATTTTGTATGTTAGTTTTCATATACAGTAGTCTTACAATAAAGTAAAACTAGAGAAAAGAAAATGTTATTAAGAAAATCATAAGTAAGAGAAAATACATTTATAGTCCTGTACTGTAAATGTACAGTACAAAAAATCCATGTATAATAAGAGGACCCTTGCAGTTCAAACCTGTTACTCAAGGGCCAACTATATTTGTGTGTGTGTGTGTATTTGCAGCTGCTGAGGCAGATGAATTCTACACATTTACATTTTCTTTTTTGTATGTAAAAGCAAACCTGTGCCCTGAAGCAAATTAAGGAAAACAATTCAAACTAGATTAACTAGATTTTCTTTCCTGCAGTTTATTTTGTGGCTTTGGGTGGACAGTTTTTCCCCCGTCAATTTCCCAAATATAATGCTTCCTGCATTCTGACCATGAGGGCCTTACTGTTCCCCTCAGCTTACCTAAATTTTAGACAAGTTTCTTCCTGACTGCAGGCCTCTGATGTCTCTTTACTTAGAGCATTTACTTTAGAAAACCTGCAATTGTAAATTCCTTCTCTGCTCTTCTGAGATACACACCTTCTCCAACCCAGGAATGTCTCTCTCAGGAACCTGGGAGGCATCTCTTTGAAATGTAACCATCAAGAAAGATAGAAAAAGAGTATGGAGGTTCCTCAAAAAATTAAAAATAGAACTACCATATCATCCAGGAACTCCCCTTCTGCGTATTTACTAGAAAGAAACAAAAATACTAACTTGAAGAGATATCTGCCTCCCCACGTTCACTGCTGCATTATTCACAATAGCCAAGATATGGAAATGACCTAATTGTCCACAGACAGATGAATGGATAAAGAAAGTGTGGTATAGACATACAATGGAATATTATTCAGCCATAAAAGAAAGAAATCCTGCCATTTGTGACAGCGTGGAGGGACGCTAAGGGACTTGTGCTAAGTGGACTATGTCAGAGAAAGACAAATACTGTACGATCTCACTTATATGTGGAATCGAAAAACAAAAGCAAAAACAAAACTTCAGATACAGAGGATTGGTGGTTGCTAGAGGCAGGGGTTGGAAGGTGGGAAAAATGGGTGAAAGGGTCAAAAGGTACAGACTTCTAGATATAAAATAAGTAAGTCACAGCATGGTGACTGTAATTATTAATACTGTACTGTAAGTTTGAAAATTGTCAAGAGAGTAGATCTTAAAAGTTCTCATCACAAAGGAAAAAAGAATTGTAACTACATACAGGGCTGGAGGGTCACTAGATTTGTGGTAATCATTTCACAATATATGCAAATACTGAATTATTATGTTGTATACCTGAGACTGATATAGTGTTGTAGGTCGACTGTATCTCACTAAAAGAATAAGATCGATACACTATTGCCATGTATACTATGAGAGCAAGGAAAGAAAAGGAAGGAAATGGAGGAAGGAAGAAAGGCCCTCTGTCTCCTGGAGGGTAGGAGCCTAATTTCCAGAAGCACAATTAACAAACACGGATGGTCTAATCACATTGATAATCCCCTCACCCCCAAATTCCTCCAGTACTTTTTCATTAGGTCATCCCAGGGTTTAAAAATATTCAACTTTTGTTTCAGTTGAGTTCAATCTTGCCCGTTGAACTCCGTGTGATATAATTTGTCTTTAATAGGTCACACATGTCATTAAAATATTCTAGTGATATATATGAAACTGACACTTCATCTAACTGTAGACAAATTAAGGATGTTTGCTCAGAAATTTGGTTAGGGCAGGGAAGACCACCTCCTTGCTCAAGCTTTGGATGAAGAGACTGTTTTTAGTGAAGGTAACTCACTAACTCACTGGATGGAGAGTGATCCACTCTTGGATGACACTGTTCAAGATATTTTAGAAGAGGAATAATAGGTAAGCCTGGCGAGGGAGTGCGAAGTGGTTAGAGACACTCCTTCTGGATTCAATTCCTAGGCTCTGTTTATTATAGTTATTTCATATTTTCTCATTTGCAAAATAGGAGTAAAAATAGCATATTTCTCATAAGTCTGCTCAGAGGATTCAAGGAAACATTTATCGAGTGCTTAGAAGAGATGCTAGTAAGGGCTTTGCCAATGTTAATTTCTATCACTACCATCGCTGTTATTATTATTACTGGAGCTGTCACTGAAGAGCAGGATGACTTGAAACCAGAGATTTCCCACTTCTGAGCTACAATTTCCTATCTGGGAGATGATGGGATGGGCCACATAAGCCCAAAGACCTTCTAGGTTTAACATTCTCTCCATGGTTCTGATGAGGCTGCTGCTTGGCTTAACCAAGAGGACACATGTGGGGAGTCATGGGTCATGACGCCCACAACAGCCAGGAAGGAGCGAGAGGAGAGAGAGAGCCTCACATGGAACAGCCATGAAAACTGGTTAGTGGGGTTATTGCAGAGCATGGGCCCTGGGTCTAGATGGGCTGGGTTGGAAGCCCAGCTCCACCACATAGAAGCTGGGGCAAGTTACGTGCCCTGCTGAAGGAACAAGAGTAATAACATCACCTACCCTATGCTAGGGTTGTTGTGAGGATTCAGTGCATTCCCAGAGTATAGAAAGGAGATGCAGAAGGAAAGAGAAGCAGAAGCTCTCCTCCATTTTGTCCACCTGGCTGAGAGGTCTCCTCATTGATGGGACCTTGTTAGGAAAACCATGGCCCTGGTTTGCTTTCAGTTACTGTTTGGGCTTCTCAAGCCTCTTGCAGGTGGTTGGGGGTGGGGGGCAGTGGGCAGGGGAGGGGAGGAGGGAGGAAACCTCATGAATCTAATACGATTCATAGGGCATTCGAAGAATAGCGTCCTCAGACTTGTTCAAAGTTCCTTACAAATTACTTTTTGAATTTGAAGGTCAAGTTGGCAAGATGAGCAATGAAAAGCAGATGTGCATCAGAACCAAATAATTCTGGGACTGGTGCAATTGATATTATTTGGACCACTAGCTAGTTTCTCTCTGTCTCTCTCTGTCTCTATCCATTCCTCCCTTCATCCTTCCCTTTTGCTCTCTCTCTGCACAGCATTTACCTTTCCTACCTTCTTTTAAATTCTTGTTGTTTTAAATTTTAATTTTCCATGATGCATATGTACCACTTTGATATGAACAATAAATACACTTCACGTTTTTATCATCCATGAATAACAGTGCATACTTATCTTTCTGTGCAGACAAAAATTACCAGAATGAGATCAATTTGTATAAACTGTTTTTAATCCCGCATTTTCAGTCAGTGATCCTACCTTTCCACTTCAGTAAACTTTCACTCCATGCAATACTGACTATATTCAACTTCCCAACAGATTAGAAGATTGTTCTGTACAGCTGTTTGTTCAAACTAATATCCAGTCTAGGATGATACATGACATCTGCTTGTGTGGCCCTTCATCGCTTTTCATCCAGTAGAGTTGTTGGTTTTTTTTTTTTTTTGATGGTACATATTTGAGGGAGAGATTTTCAGAATATTTAGATATTGGTATATTGTTCTTGAATTTTAAAAAAGCCTCAATATTAACTATTTTCTTTTATAATGGGTTTTCGTTATTCAAACACCGCCAAAATACCAAATGGAATGAATCAGCTTTATGTGTAATGAAGCTCATTCTATCCCACTTCAGGTGAGTGAGAGTAGAAGAGCCATTTCAGAACACAAACCAATAAAGGATCTGGGGGTCTTGGGGCCATAACTGTGCTGGTGAAACCACATCTCCTCCAAAGGAGGAGACCAGACCTGACTCAGCTCTTTCTCCATCACCAGCCTCTGTTCTCTGGGTGGAGGCCTGGTGGCCTCTGGTAGCCTACAAGCACCCTACCTCCCTGAGCGTGGGGCCAGCCAGGGCTCATGTGCACAGGCACTCACCATACACCGCGATGGTCTTCGTGTCTTGCAGGATGGCATTCCCAGCTGAGACCTGCACTGTGATGGTGTTCATCCCTTCCGAAGTAAACTTGAATGATATGCTTCCCTCCAAGGTGATCAGAGGCTGAAACAGGGGAGGGCACAGAGTGAGGGGACAGCTGGCCAGTCACCGATGAGACAGCCACGAGCTCCGAGCCACCAACCAGCCACTTAAATCAGCACAGGCTCTTCCCGGTGTGCCCCCATGCAACTGGCTCCATCTGCTTGCCCATCATCTCCGGTCCAGGCCAGAAAGGAGCTATTAGCCATGACCCCAAGTGACTCTCCCATTCCCTGTGACTAGGACACCTCTCTTCTGGTGTCATCCTGATTCAGGGCTGGGGAGATGGATAGGTCTTGCTTGCTGGTGGGACAGCTCTATCTGCAACCTACTCGTAACAGGCAGGTCTCTTAATACAAAGAAATACTCAGATTGGACCCACACAGGCAGCTCATGTTAATCGGATGTAGGCAACAGTTACTGAAAATCTCTAAGCTTCCAGTTGGTCATCTCCAGGGGTACCATTCATAGAATATTCCAATGGAACACAGCAGCCATGGACACCAAAACTGTCCTCGTTAGACTGGAGTGGCCTTGTGTGGCTTGGCTCCTCTGAAAAGCCCTATCAGCTGTTTCTGGAAGTAGCTGCTATGGAAACAAGTACTAATTGGACAGTGGTTTGAGGACTGAAAAGAAAAATACAATTTGGAGTCATGCCTGTGATAGAATGGGACGCCGGGATCCTGGAGGGAAAGATGATTAGCCTAATGACCTCCCTCAACTCATTATGCACAAACATTTCTTTCCTGTCTTTTCTTAATTAATTAAAAAATCTAAATTCATGTAACCAACTCCCTGTATAGCAGAGGAAAGACCAACGCCCAGCATAAGAAGCCTACTCAATGTAATCTGTTGAGAATTTGGTTTTCCGCTGTCAGGTTAAAAAACATTAAAAAAAAAAAAGGAGACATAGAAAAAAGTTTAGTACATTCACCTTCTAGCACCAGCTTTTAGGCAAATAACTTAGATTTCTCCTCTGCCACTGTGGGTAGTGGGTCCAATTTAGGCCACATTTACATGCAGAGTTTCAGAAGAAATTAAAAAAAGCTTCTTTTCAGAGGAGTTAAATTAGCAGTAGAGGTGAGCGTTTCCTTCCCCTGCCAGGCATGTAGCGGGTCTGGGCTCAGGGGAGGTTTCCTCCCTGGGCCTGTGCAAAAATTATGACTCCAGTTAAAGCCAACGTTCAGCTCTGGGGTAGAAAAAGACTGGCATCAGAATAAGATGCACTCTATTTGAAGAGCAAAATCACCAAGTGCAAGAGAGTGGTTCTGCTGGAGGAAGACGAAGCTTTCTCATCCTGAGCAGCTCATGCCAGTGCCCTTTGGGGAGGCCTTTGCACAGACTGCCTTAACTGACATTTGGAAGCAAATTGTAATCTCTGAGAATGGAGGAAGTTCAAAACGGACCTGGCAGCCTGGCATTAGGGGAAGGAAAATACACATGGGAAGGCCTTGGATCCGGCCTCCACGTGAAGCAGCTGAACGAGGCAGGAGGAAAGCCCTTCACGTGTGTCCTCCTGACTTTTTCATCTGTAAAATGAAGGCCTTAGAGTAAATGAGGTTTAAGGTCTCTGCTGCTTTTAAAGTTGCTGCTGACTTTTGATCACAGGACATGTTTTGGGAAAATGGAAAGGGTAAAGCTGAGAGAAAGGAGTGACCACATCCAATTCAGGGGGCCTGGGGCCAGGCTATAATAAGTATTTGTTGCTTTTGACTGTCTGGTATCTACTGTTTTTTTGGGGGGGCTGCATTTTCCCCCTTCTCTTGGTCCATGTGGTTCCAAGGAGGCTGACTTCAACACCTCTCTTTCTACCCCGAGCACTGGGAAGGCTTGGTCAATGATACTCCATCCTGGGACTTCTGTTCATTTTCTCTGCTAAGCTGTGAGAGTATAAAGCTCGGGCTGCTGCTAAGGTCTTTGCAAAGGGAAGGCCAGTTGGAGAAGAAGGTAACATGGAGGAAGGCAGAGGTGAGGGGCAGGGGTGACATGGTGAGAGACAGAGGGACAGAGGGAACACACTGATGAGATTATTGGAGCACTATGAGCCGGCTGTGCCCGAAGCTAGAACCACCCCTGGACTCCTGAGTTACATAAGCCCTTTCCTTTCCTTTCTCCCTTCAGCCAGTTTGAGCGGAGCTGTGACTAGATGCTGCATGGAAGGCTGACCCACCTCTGTGTTGTTTCCGTACCACCACACGTAAGTGAGGGTGCCCACTTGGCTGGGCCACAGCACTGCCGTTGCGTTGACCTCTTTGTTCTTTGTTGTGACAAAGGGAAGAGACAGGTGTACATGCTCCAGGGGACCTGAGGCACAAGAGAAAAGACGAGGCATAGAGAAGGAAGATATTTCTCTGCTTCACCTTCCCTGCTCTGAAGAGAATACATATTCGTTCTGGAAGCCTCCAAAACATCACAGTCATACTCCCTGAGGAAAGTGCTAAGGGGCTTTCCCTACTTTGGAGAAAAGATATCTTGTGACCCACTGTGTCTCAATATTTTCCATTTACTGATCTTTCTGCCAGACCTAAAACCTGAGTTATTTATGTGTAAAACTTAAAAAACTTACAAGTAATTTATGAATTCCTTAAATGAAGATGCATAATATGAGGATTCACAGGAAGATGCAAAGTCTTTCTAAGAGATCGTATCCGTGGTGGTAAACCAGGATGATGAAAACCTCACGGACTCCATGTGTGTGGCCGCGGGGGCAGGGGGTGGTGGTTACGGCACAAATCCCCAAACCATTCTAGATGTCATCATTCTTGACTCTTTGTTGGGATTTTCAAGATCTGTATATGTGTAAATCTGTGTGTTTGTGTGTGAGAGTGTGTGTATCTCTCCGCAGGAGTATATTTAACACCACCCGGTTCAAACTGTTTGGTGTTGAGTTCAGCTTGTTCAGGTCAAGTATGCATGAGCAGGTAGAGACAGCTTTGTGGTTCTCTGGATGTGCTCAACTGAAAAAGGGGATGATTCTACTTATGGAGATCCATTAGAGAGAAGCCTTGATCAGATGCACAAACCCACAAACCTATGAGTTCTCTCTTCAGAGAGAACCAGTAGGGCCCTTCCTCTGACCCCTGGTCTTCCCTTTGAGTCACTTCTCCTAGGCAAAAATGCAGTTTCCTCTGAGGTGAACATGGCAAAAATCTGTCATCCCACCATTATTCCATGAGGCAGAGAAGAAAGTGGTACCTTTCCACCTGGTTTAATCACTACCTCTTCTGCTAGATCTTTAAATGCGTTTCCTACAGTACTGACTTTGGCCCTTTTTCCCTCCATTTACTGTTCTGCTGAGTAATCTCATCCACACCCTGACCTTCAACAATAAAGTACGTGCTCATAACTCAAAAACCACCTACTTGACTCGGGACTCAATTAGGAGCCAGATGTTCCTAAGAAATTCATTATCCACCCCCCCATTTTCTATTCTCCATGTCTTGATGAATGGAAACCAATGTTTATCCAGGGGACCAGCCCAGAAGCATAAAGTCAATCTGGATTCCTTATTCCTTGCCACCCTTTCCATGTTGGAAACCACTAGCTTGGTTTCATAAATATCTCTCAGTGAGAGCTCCTCCCACCGTCCCCAATCCTTCCCTGGCTCATACAGCTGGACTATCATGAGCCGTACCAATCTTCCTGCCTCCAACCTGCCCCCAAGCTAATTCACCCTCCTGCCCTATGTGTTCAGTGCCTGCCTTCCTCAGTAATAATAAGTTGCACCAAGAGCCAGGGTTCTCAGCCCCCAGAATAAAACATCTAGTCCAAGGTCAGGGTAGAGGAAGTGCAAAGATCTTGAGGGCGAGGTGGTTCTCCATGTTTGCAGAATAGAAAGCAAGCCCAAGTGGCTGCATAGAGAGATGGAGGGAAACAGTGGGAGCCAATGAGATCTAATAGGGATTCAGGACACATAGCATATTGTTTTGTAGGCTCTGAAGTATGCAAATGTGTGTTTATATGAGTTCATTCTTACATGTATGCACATTATACATTCATACCACGTATGGCAATGACTAGGTATCTTCTCACACTACAAACTGTTGTGAGAGTGATTTTTTAGAAAGCCAAGTTGATCATGCTACTTGTTCGAAATTAAAATTCCCATTACCTAATGATGATGATGATAGTTAACACATATTGATCTAAAATTTGTGAGACAGAGAACACAGGCTGCAAACTTTCAGAGGGTAAGAGTCTTTCATATTTATCTTTGCATCTAAAGACTAGCATAGTTCCTGAGATGTAGCAGATAATCGAATGTTTGCTGGGTAGGTGAACAGATGGTGCAATTTCTTGTTGCTGCTTTTGTCTATGCTTCTCTCTCTTTAGAGAATTAGAGGCCTGGTGACCAGCATACAGAATAGAATTGATTTTCTGGCTTATAAGCCATATAAAAAGTAGTTGTTCATAAGTCAGAACAGTTCAATGTGCTAAAAAAGGGCGCATCTACTGAGTGATGACCATGTGCCACATATTCTGCTAATGACTCTTTTCATTCTCATTTGCTCCTCACAACAACCTCATGAAGCAGGCACTACTATCATTTCCATCTAGAGATGAACAAACAGAGGACAATGACTCTCCCAAGGTCACGCAGCTAGGAAACATCAATTCCGGGGTGTGGGCCAAAGCAGTTTGATTTTAAAGCCCATGCTCTGGCCAGCTGACAAATGCTCAAAAAGATCTCTCCCATCTTCACAAAACAGCTACGAAGAGTCAGTATCTACCCATCACTTAAATGTATCCCAGGCGCTGGCAGGGGCACTTTACATGTGCTCTCATTTCTTACATGGTTCTGCTGTTTCCTATCACTCAGTTTGTTCCAGCAGGTCTGCCCTGTTATGCCCTGAGGCCTCGGCATAGACTCCTCTCTCAGGGCACCTGTCAGCCTTCGAATCTCAGTTCCAGTGACCAGGCTTCTGGAATGTTCTTTCTGACTCCCCTGATCGGAGGTAAGTGACTCAGCTAGAATACAAGGACTAGATAAGCTCTCTTAAGCATGCCACTTCCATCCTAAAGGAGTTCATTTTCTGTGTCTCTCTCACATATGAGTATTGAATATTTTTTTAAAGTCTGACCATCAAGGTAAGGACGGTGTCTGTGTGTCCTGTTAATGGCAAAAATGGAATCTTCTTCGGGAAATGTGGTCATTAATTCATTCAACAGTTTCAGAGGGCTGCCACATGTCAGGCATTATTCTAAGTGCTGGGGACACCTGCTACTTGGTGGAGCTCATGTCTTATTGGGGGAGGCGGGCACTGAACACATAAAGCGGCGGTAGGTGATAGAGTGCTGGTTTTGTCTCTCAGGAGAAATGACATGTGAGCAGTGACCTGAATAAAGTGAAGGAGTGCACCACATACTCTTCGTGATGCTCCAGGGTGAGGGCAGGGCAGGTGCAAAGACCTTGAGGAGGAGATTTGCTTGCCATGTTTGAGGAACAGCAAGAAAGCCCAGGTGGCTGCCGGTGAGAAATGGAGGGAAAGAGTGGGAGCCAATGAGATCTAAGAAAGATTCAGGACTCACAGCATATCGGCTAGCCGGCCCTGAAGTATGCAGATGTGTGTTTGTACGAGTTCATTCTTGCAGGTATACGCATTACACATTCATTCAAGTGTGCGCAATTTACCTTTCATATTCCTGCCTTGTCCTCTTGTACTCATTTACTTTTCAGGTGCTTAACACACCTAGTTCCTGCTGCCGAAAAGCCTATCTTTTAAGCATCTCTTCTACGTACAGAGGGTGCAGTCTGCACTAAGCGAGCTGAGCTGCGGAAGTACCACTCCAGCCCCTGGAGGCCCGCAGCTGGCTGGCTGCACTAAATCCAGAGGTGAACAAGCCCGAAGTGGCTCCAGCAGACGGGTGCCTGTGATGCACAAAAGGGACAGCAGGTGGCGCTGCATCATTCCATATGAATCTTCCTGGCAAGGTGGGTGAGGGACTTGGGAAATTGCTTGTGGAATTGGGTCTCCCTCTTTTCTTGTTTAGCCCTAATGTGCTATAGAAAGCAGCTGACGTTTGTGAGGCTGAACATTGTGTGTGTGCACACGCGTGTGCGCACGGGCACACGCACGCGTGTATGTGTATACACACCTTTGTAATGCTTGCTCTGGACTCTGACATTTGTTTTGGAGACCTCATCTGACCACCAAATTAAATACTGCGCATGCGTTACATTGCTGTTTGTCTGAAATGTGAAAAATCCTCTAGAAGAAATAAAAGTAGTTCAAAGTATAAAGATGAGATCCTAAAACGGAGTTCCTTAAACTTCAATGCGCAAAAGGATTATACTAATCTGTTCAAGGCAGATTATGATGCGCACTTCTAGGAATTCCAATATAGCAGGTTTGGGATGAGGCCTAGGACACTATATTTTTATCATGTAATTCTGGGGCAGGTGACTCGTTAAACCACACTTTACAAAACTCAAGTCTGAAGTTTGCTGGCCAATATAATAATCACGTGAAAAGTTGCAAAGCTGCATGGGTTTTCAAGAAAACAATCACTTTAAGATAGGAACAGAAAGACATCTGCAAATGGCACCTGTGTACAGAGGTAGTTGGGGAGATTTGGGAAGAACTAAAAAATCTGTCTCATCTTTTTTTGTTTTTTCAAACCTCCCATTCTGCAAATTTGCAGTTTTCAGGGACTTTTTTCTGCGAGACTGGCTGAGATGGGGTAGCCTCCTGAGCAGAAATCTGCATGTCCTCTAAATTCTACCGCCTGCCCCGCCGGCAGAAGGCAACACTGGCTGCACCACGTGTCTTGTTAGTTTGCCAACTAGCAGAGTGCAGTAAATCCTGTCCCCAAGGACTTTCCAACTGTCAGGTTACAACAGATTACCCAGCCTCCCAGTGAGAAGGGCTGGTCCACGCCTGGGAACATCAGAGCAGGCACATCATCTCCATCTGTTTCTGATGACCGTTGCAAACCCATATTAAAAAAACAAAAACAAAAACAAGACAAAGCCCTCTGGCCTTCGGCTCAGGTCATGATCCTGGAGTCCCGGGATCGAGCCCCGCATCGGGCTCCCTGCTCAGCAGGGAGTCTGCTTCTCCCTCTGACCCTCCTCCCTCTCATGCTCTCTGTCTCTCATTCTCTCTCTTTCAAATAAATAAATAAAATCTTAAAAACAAAACAAAAAAAACAAAGCCCTCTGATTTGGAATCAAATCACCTTTCTGACCTGGAGAGGAGAGAGAGAGTATGCCATCAAGTCAGGCAATGGGGGAGAATTCCAGGCAAGGGAAGGAGTCCTGGTGACAGAGGCAGAGGGCAGGCATGGAAAATGAGCTAAGAGTTGCTGCTCCGAACCCACTAAGGAGAAACACACGCACTGCTTTGTGATGATGGAGAAGCAAGCTTTACTAGCTGATGGGTCACAGCATATTTTGCTTGAAGGAACCTCTGAGAAACAAGATGTGCCTTCCGCACATGACAGAGGAGAAAACCTAGGCTCAGAGAAATGGAGTGACTTGGCCAGGAGTTCAGGCCAGCATCTGCACCTAACCACTCCTAACCCAGGCCAATGTTGGTTTGTTTTTTCTACAAAGAATACCCCCTGCCCTGCCCCCAGGCCCTGGGACTGCAGCACCAAAAATTTCCATGATTCCCTTCAGGTTTGAAATTTGGGGGAATGTTAATCACTTATGGTCTTGTTCTGATTTCCTCTTAGAGTAAAATAGCATCAAAGACAAGGTCCTTCTCCAATCTCTGCTTTCTCCATCGGAAAGGCATGCCCATCGTTATGCGAGGCAGAATCCTGCTTTGATAGAGTTAGTACAAAAGGGTTAATTCTTATGCCCAAGGTCAGGCTTAGAAAGGGGTTCCATTATATGAGGTATGCTTATCCAAACACTGAACCCAAGATGAGCCTAACAAAATTAAAATCAGAGCACAAAACTTCCCCTTACAAAGCATCTGCCACTAAGGTAAAAGGCACACTGCTGAGCCACTCAACTAGGCTAATGAGAAGAAAAAAAAAAGTGAAAAAGAAACATTTCTTTTAGAAGTCCTGGTGTCAGCAACCTTTGATCTCTGTGCTGGTTTCCTTCCCAGGGTCGCGTAAACCTGGCAGAGGGCCAGGGCAGGGAACTAGTCCTCAAGGGATACGATCATTTTTGGGGGCAAGGACGAATCCAAAGGGTGACCAGGGGGGCAAGGTGTGGATGATCTACGGGAGAGCCTGAGAAAGGGAGACCGAAAAGCTGCTGATTTTGAAATCAGTATTCACACATGGTTAGAGTGCAGTAGATATTTCATACATATGCACGATATGGACTAAAATAACTGTAATTCTTCAGGAGAGCAGCTCTCAAACAAAAATCCTCCCCTTACAGAATAAGCCATGGAAAATGAGAGGCTGCTGGGTAGGTGGTCATTCCCAGCAAATGTACTGGCGTTTATGCCGTAAGTTAGTTTGGCTACCAATAACCAATGTTTGTGATGTATTTCTGAGAGATTTTCTGACCATTCCTTAGTAAGGAAGATTATTTCTTAGTAAGAGGCACCTCCAGAAAGTCCATACAGGACAGCCTAGAGAGGAGAAGGGCCACCACGGCGTCAGAGGGGCCTCTGAAATGTGCCTTGAACCTACACAGTTGTCTAGTGAGTTGCTTATGCTCCTTTGGACAATCTGCAAAGGGGTGGAGGGGACAAGGGCTGCTGGAGACAAGTTCCATCACCGACAGCACTGACAATGACCTCGGGGATCCAGAGCTGGCATTCCAGACACGGGTAGACCTGAGTCTGAAGCCTGGCTTTGCCAGAGAGCAGGTCTGCAATTTCAAACACATTATTCAAGCTCTCTGGCCTCCACTGTTCTTTGTAAAGTAGGGTTTCTAATAGGGCCTACTTCATCAGGTCGTTTTGAGAAGTGAGATCATACATGCAAAGAGCTTGCTTAGCACAAGGCTTGGCGCATAGTAATTGCTTAATTAACTTTAGCTGAAAAGAGGCAAGAGGAGTGTGCAGACTGTGAATCTTATAAAACTTTGCTTAAACCCAAAGAAGGGAGGATGTGTTTCTTCAAAGCACCTTTGTCATGAGTGTGTGGGAGAGAAAGATCAAGAATCACTGATACTGCAGGAATCCTCGGTAATGAACAATCACCCGGGGGAATCCCTAAATAGTCTTGTCCTCCCACTGGACCACAGCAGCTTAAGAAAAAAAAGAATCTAGTTGGTATGTTCTGTACTCAGTTCAATGCGCAAGAGGCAGGTAGGAGGCATGGAATACTGCCCAGCCTTAACGCTCTTGGCCTGGAATTTAGAATTAATCTGGACAAGGCCATTCGTAAAAGGAGCTGCTTTCATTGTAGAAGGCCAGCACCTTATCCATTCGGTCACTGGGGTTTCACATAGCTACTTTCATTTTAAAGCAAAGCATTTCTGTAGCAACCTAAACATGCCCTAAGCCTGTTTGGGGACACCCACACACCTGCCACCAGAGGCATCCGTGGTGCACGTTTGTCCTACACATAACTTAGGAGCTGTCATGACCTCATCATACTTATTACACCTTCATATTCCTCGATGGGACAAATGCTTCAACACTTCTCAATGCAGCTCTTTCCCTCTCTCAACACCACCTTCCCTCTAACACCAAACATCACAGATAAAGGCCCAGGAAATGCTTTAAAAAAGGAGCAAAAGTCTAAAAGCGTAATTTACAGTGAGACGTATCATGGGAAGAGAGGAATAATCAGATGGGGAGAAATCCCATCACTTGTGCTCATTCTCAATGTATCAGACTGAGCCATACGTGGGGATTGTTTTTAAATGTTTCTGACTTAAGAAAAGAAAAAGACAAACTCATGTGCAATCAAAGAGCTTGGCCAGTGGCCAGACACAGGGGTGCTGTGTCGGAGGCGCCTGGAAGAGGCACAGTAAGTGCAATGAGAACAAGTTCAAGCAACACAAATCCTAGGATTATTCAAGCTCCACTCCCTTTCTTTTTACTTTCTCCCCACTCGACTCTCTTATCCTCCTTCCCCATCTCCTTAAACATAACTGGAGAGCTGCTTCTAGACAGGAAACTCTGGGTTATACTTTAAAAGGGACACGGTATTTGAAATAGGTCATAAACCAACAACAGTAATAACATACAAGTTACATGTAAGTACAGGACGGCGCTGTCAGAGCCCAGACTGTTGTCCACCTGCACGGTCACTCGGAAAATGCCCACATTGTGATAGACGTGTTTGATCCCATCTTCCATGGAGCTGAGGTTGACGTAAGACACTGCAATGCCATCACCGAAGTCCACTTGGATGAGTGTCCTCTGGACGTCACCCTGAAAAACAGCCCAACATCAGAGAAGGGGAGTCGGTGCTTGCAGCTTCTGCCCCGGGGGCTGGGGCGTGTCCCCGCCCCTGGGTCCCTGGCTCAGGGCTAATGGCAGACTCTGGCTCCCTCCTACAGCGGGGAGCATCTGTCTGCATTTGACAGAATCCCTGTGACATTCCCTGGCAGATAGGAGCTTACCAAGATGGATGTTCTCCAAATCTGAAGGGCACCCACCACCAAAAGTTTCAAGGTTTGGAAAACTAAGTCTTTGATAATCCATTCCAATTGGATAGTCAATTTCTCTGAGGGATCTGTTTACACTCTTATCGTCCCCATGAATAAAATGTGCACATAGCTTTTTAAAGATTCAGCCTACCTGACATGGTTCCAGACCTCTTCCCTTGTGTTCAGGACCCTGGAATCCCCTGATTCCTGGTCGCTTACTATGTTAGAGAAAGGATAAAAGACACCTTGCCTCCCACCTGATAGGACACTGGGCTCAGTGCTATTATTATTTAAGATAATGACGGTTATTTCTTTTACACTTCAGTATTTTGTGCTATAAAAAATGATAATATTTTATTCTTCACAGAATCTTAGCTGGGAGAGAAAAATAGGCCACATTTGTCCATTTTACTGGTAGGGAAGCTGAAGTCAGGAAAGACTTAATTATCTGTTCAAGGCTAACACAGCTAGTTAGGGGCAGACCTAGGATTGGAACCCATCTCTGTGGGCTTGCATTTCATTCATTATAGGTAGATAAAGCACAGATGGCTCCTCCAGGCTTGAATCCCAGGGTGCCATTAGCAAGCTGCATGACTTCATGCAAGTCATTCAGCCTCCTTGGGTCTCGGTTACCTCATCTATGAAATGGGCATAATAATACCTTACTGTCTTCACTCAAGGGGTTGTTATAAGACATGTGAGTTAATTAATCCTCTGTAAAAATTTGGACTAAATCAATGACTGTCAAAACCATGCAGCTGTGAAGGGCGTGCAATCCCCTTTTACAGCTGGATTGGAATCATACAAATCTAAATTTCCCAGTGGAAGGCAGGAAGAGGGAGGACAAAAGTCTGCTTTCTAAAATTCCAGACCTGTAAGAAAATGGTTTTGGAATAACAGTAGAGATTCTTAAGGAACAAAGTTTCTTAGACCCAACTGACAAAAACCAGCTTCCTTCCCATGCAGCCCATCCTTTATCAAGTTTTCCTTGTTTGTTTTGTTAGCTTTTCCCATTTTCAGGGAAAAAAAAACCTAAAAAAAAAAAAAACAACAAAAACTTAAAAAAAACCCCAGAAACCACACACACACACAAAAACCCTTTGAACTAAAAAAAAAGTATTTTTGGTTAAGTAAGGTTCATATGGTATCATATTTTTTGAAAAGGCCAAGTTTAAAATGCTGACATTTAAAAGATTAATTCACAGGGAAAGGAAAAGCAGTTCAAATCCTAATCTCTGTGACCTACTCTTCTGATCTGTGCCCGGCCAAGCATTGTGTGGGGGGCACACAGCAGGGCAGCCAACTCTCAGGGAGGACATGAGCAAGAATTCTCCCCTCGGGAGGGAGAAAGAAACTCCACTTGGAACTACAAGACAAATTATCCACAAGCCCAGACACTGTGCAATTACTTGAATTCCCTTCGCTAATAAATATAAATGTCAACGATTCTTGCTGACTTGTCCTTCATTTGCACAAATCAGACTGGTCAATTTCTCGGTGCTGTTTCTAGTCAGTTCTCCCATGTTTTCTGGATTTTCAACAGAGGTGCTGCCAGCCAATCTTAGGTATGGGCGCAGAGGAAGAAACTGCCTTCAAATCTACTCACATCATTTGGGACAAGTGTCTGAGGGAATTATCAGGAATAGTTAGGGTTAACTGGGTCAGCCGTGAAATAAAACAAGCAATATGATTTCTGAGAAAGAGAGGGAGGGAGAGAGTGAAGACGGAAGGAGAAAGAGGGGGAGACGGAAAAGAGGGAGAAAGAGAGAAAGTGAGGAGCGAGGAAGGGGGGGACATGGAGACAGAAACTGAGAAAGGAAGAGAGGTTTCGGGGCGTTGTGGGGACAGAGTGGGCATCAGCTAAGGGTCACCACTGGCCAGAGCACAGAGGGGAGACTCACGTCTCAGCTGATTCTACCTCAGCCCCCGCAAGTTACAGCATCTACCCACATACCTGAGAAAAGTCCAACTTGGGCTGCCCCTGCTTGAGTCTCCCAGCCTCGCCCGTTCTGTCTGGGATTCACAACTGTGCTTCTGTGGGCCTGGACTTGGACCTCTTTCAGCGACTTAAAACTCCTCTCAAGTTCTGTCTGGATGTCCACTGTCTTTCATGCTAGGCTTTTGGTCTGAAAGTATTCCTCATCATCCACTCATGACAATGTTCCCCACACAGGTAACAGGTGAAAGAAGGGAGCCGTGGTGCTGGGACGGCTGTATCAGCAGGGCTGCCTTCATAGAGGAGTCATGCTTTTAGGGTACTCGGTCAGGTATTAGGAAGATCTCTCTAGCTCTAGCTCTCGCTCTCACTGGTGTGAGTGCAGGCCCCTGGGCTTGGTCCTCTGTACCAGGAGACAGGGGCACCAAGAGGCCAAGGCAGCAGATTTCATCCCTGCTGTTGGAGCTGTGCCCACTCAAGTGGAACATACTAGATGCCATGCTTTTGCCTTCAGAGGCTCTCAGGTGCTTCATAAGCCTAACACAGCTGTCAATGCATCGCTTTGGGGCTCATCAGTCATCAGCCTCTGCCTTCCTTGGGCTGTAATTGCCATCTGAGACAGGGATGCCAAAACTCCTTTCAGAGAATAAGAAACAGGGCAAAGGCAAGAGAGCCTAAGTCCTAGATCATCATGATTAGGCACACTTGCCCTGCTTTAACTGGCTTTCTGGTCATTCATTCATTTATTCAACCAACCAAGCAACTGGCAGATATTTGTCTATCTTGTGTCAGGCATGACATGGGAAAATGATGGTAAGTAAATTATAATAAACCAAGCAAAACAGATGTGGTCTGGGCTTTCATGAGCATATGGACCACTAAGTGAGACAGATGAAATAATTCCAGAAAAATAAAAAGTTTTTACAGGGGATGTTATGAAAGAAAGTCCACAGTGTTCTAAGTTGTACAGTAGGGAGAGGTAGAGAGCTAAAAATCTGATCTGATTGAGAACTTCAAGGAAAGCTTCCCAGAAGAAGTCATATCTGAGCTGATGTGACCTTAAGGAAAGAACTGCGGTGCCTGGGTGGCTCAGTTCTTAAGTGTCTGCCTTTGGCTCGGGTCATGATCCCAGGGTCCTGGGATCGAGCCCCGCATCAGGCTCCCTGCTCAGCGGGAAGCCTGCTTCTCCC